CCTTCATAACGGAGGTCAATTTCCTTGTTTGTGTGCCCCCCGGACGAAATTGGGTGTCTATAGTACACTTTAACTCTGTTTAGATTGGATTATATATATATATATATATATATTATATACCTGAACTATGAACATGGAGCGTGGTGGAATCTTCATGTAATGTCCTAGCTTGAAATCAGATAGAAAGGAAACAGCCTGTGACATACTTATGTACCCATATGTCTTGAAGCAAACGTTGGCTATTGGCTTGCCAGGTAAAATCACACCCATGATGTACTCAGTAATGATATTCAAACCTGGACTCTGAAAATGGAAAGGATAAAGTTATGGATTGGGGCCAAGCAGTAATCAAAACAGCACTTCCACTTCAATTTCCCACAGAAAGAAAGAACAGATGGTTTGATTACCTGATTAGTGGTGGCAGTTATGATGCTAATGGGGAGAGTAAAGATTAGTGCAAGCCCAGATGCAAAGATGAGACCCCACCATGGCATTTGTATCTCATCTTTCATGACAATACAAAGTACAAGTGCAAGTACAAATGTAACCGAAAGCGTGACATGAAACCACCAGCCAGGTATTTGCTTGTAGTTCTTCATCAATCTTGTGTGAATGTCTTCCTTTGCAGAGCGGGAAGTTCGGAACTGTTGATATATCTCCCTGTATAGAAGTAGAGGGCAACAATACTAATTTAGTTTCAAAGTTATAGAAGTAAGCAGTAAGCAGTTGATAATAATAAAAGCAACGAAAGCATTACCTGCCATTAAACAAGGCGACATGAGTGAGGGAAGAGGCAATGGCAGCAAAGCCAAGGCCATAGCTAATAGCAAAGAAGACACTCAAGTTGACTCGACCTTGTTTAAGGTATGCCTGCATATCAATCTCAAAGTGTTGATTCACAATGGCGGTGACATTGTAGCCGTGGCCATTGGCAGTGAATAGACTTGAAGAGTATATGGGGAAGTTCTTGGCATTGTAGAGATTAAATCCCCAATACGCAGCAGGTATGAGGAGGTATACTAATAAGACGTAACCGACAATGATGTTAGCTGTTGCAAAGAAAGGAGTGACGAGTGGATTGCCAAGGAATGCAGCAACGGTGGTCCAGTCAAGGGAGAAGGAACCCAAGCCAAGTCCACTCTTGCCTGATCCAATCTGATGGGCAGTTACTGAGCGGGGAAAAATCCAACACACCCACGAAATAATTGACAGTGTCGGAAATAGGAACCCAGGTACCACGTACCACGCGAAGCTGCAAATAAGTGCGATCAAAAAGAATTTCTCTTTTGACATGCGCCTCCGTTCTTTTTCATGCAAGGCCCTGCCAAACAAAAAACATTACATTCTTTATAATTTTTATTTGTTTTTTTTATTTTTACCGTAACGCATACAAAATTTGTTAATAGTCCTTTATTTTTTTTTAATAGTTACAATCAAAAATTTTTTTTTTTTTTCTACGTAAAACTCCCGTTGATCTCTCTCCTTTCAAAACCTTTATTATGAACTAAATCCATTCATCCATTTTGAACTATTTTAATCTTTTACTAAAAGAAATATTAATTAAAAATTTACGAGGAACATTTCGTTTGAAATTAAAATATAAGAACAATCAATGGGCAAAATTGACTAAAGGGTATCTGTTGAAAAGGAAAGAAATAAAAGGAAAATTGTACATAAAAAAATATTTTTTAAACAATTTGAGGAAGAGAAGTCATATGCCTTTTTTCGTTCTTCCCAGAATTGTTTTATTTTTTTTATTCCATTTTAAAGAACTCAGAAAAGGAGAAAATTAAAATAAAAAAAAAAGATCTACTTCTAGATGTTCTAAATGAAAGAATAAAATTGTCTCCAAGAGAAATATCTAAAAAAAACAGTAAAAATATAGATCATCAAAAGTATTTTCAAAATAATCATATTTCACCCATAATTAAATTCCAAACATTTTCTTCTTCAAACTTTAACCTCACACGCTATTCAACATTTTTTTCAAAAATTTCATAATCCTTTTCAATAAATTTCTTTCTCAAGTTTATTGTAAAGAAAATAAGGATTTGATGCTTTATGCAAATTATAAATATTGAGATTCATTAATTGTAACAATTAAACAAGTAACAAAATATTGAAATACTAATGTCACACGTTAGTCATAATGGAATAATAATAATAATAATAAAACCTATATGTTTAAAAGGAAAGAAAGAGACCTCATCCTTAAATAAATGGAAATAGATTTCTCTTGTTCAATTTTCATATGAACGCGTTATGTTATGAGAAAAGATATAACTAGCAGATATATATATATATATATATATAAAGGAGGGATTTAGGAGTAAGTCTACCTAAATTTTAACTCATGTTTAATAACTCATGTTTTACATCAAATTTTAACGATCCAACCGTTCAATTTAAAGTTCTTAATGCATAGATCAAATCTGTAAATTTTTAAAAAATTTGAAAATTATTTGATACTTCGTTTCATTAATTTGAATCAATGTATAAAATGATTTTATGATTATCCATCAATTTAAATTAATGAAATAAAGTATCAAATAATTTTCAAATTTTTAAAAAATTTACAAATTTGATCTATGAATTAAGAATTTTAAATTAAACAGTTTGATATTTGAAATTTGATGTAGAACATGAGTTATTAAACAGAGTAAGTTTAGGTAGACTTACTCCTAGAGTAAAAGGATCCCTTTTCACACACACATATATATATATATATATAAGTGATTTAAACTTATCACAACAACCAAGCAAATCATGTGAAATTTTGGTGTATTCCTCCTAAAATATGCTCTTTATTTAAAAAAAATTCAATAATATACAAATATCATTATTTGATAACAAAATGTAATAAATACATGAATGGTAATGATACAAAAAATTTTAAATAATGGTCCTATTATAAGAAAATTCTCTTATTTTAATTGCTATAGAAGATTTTTTTTTTTAATTTGTAACATTAAATGCATGCGATATCAAGCACGTTACTAAAAATATAATTAAAATGGTAAATAGTGACAATCAAAAATAATTTAGAGTGATATACATTAAAAAAATCATTTAATGTGTATAAAATAAACCAATTGACATTTGACAGTAAAAGTCGTGGCCCCTAATATTACCTATTTTGGGGTCGTGGTTCCGAAATTTCCAATTCTCATGCAATGTTTTTATAAAATAAAAAAGTTAGTTTAGTCTCAAATAAAATTTCATGACATAAAAAACGATATTTATATAACAAATTATACAACAATTTTTACAATTAAGAGAGAAAAATTGAAATATAATAAATGATATAATAGAGTGACAATTAAATATAAAAAAAATATGATATTATATAAATTATTTTATTATTATTCTAAACAAAATATAACCCATCTTTGCAAAATAATATATATATATATATATATATATATATATTCTTCTAAATTTCCGAACAAACCATATGACATGAAGATGAATGCCATTTTCAGTTTTGGACATAACATTTACCCGAGGACTCCCGTCGGCCGTCAGTGAATTCAAAGACGGCCAAGGAATCCATTTATACAAACCTACACGCAGTAGAAACAATGCAAATCGTTTCTCCCGCTGATTTCACTTGAATACAGCCAAAATTGAGTCATTAATATGTCAACAAAATCTCATAGTATCCTGAAACAACTATGTTAATAATAAATGAGGTATTATATTCAACTTGCAATAATATCAAAATTATATAATAATTTATACACTTAAATATATTTTTAGTCTCTTAAATTTAAAATAAATTTATTTTTAATTCTCAAATTTAAAATTATTATTTTTAAATTTTATAATTTTTAAAAAAATTTAATTTTTATATTCAAATTTTGTTAAAAAATATGTTAAATATTATCTCATTAAACCTACCTTCAAATTTGTAAGGAATTTTTCAAATACTGTAACATTATATTTGCCTACTAGTATCTTTTAGTAAAAATATTATATTAAAATTATATATAATTATCTTAATTTATCCTTTTTAAATATGTTATTAGTTATTTAAAGAATTAAAATAAAGTTTTTAAAAGTTTTAAAATTAAAAATCTAAAAACATATTGAAACCTAATTTATATTATAATTTTTATGAGGAAAAAAAGCTTGTATTAATTTTTTATTATCTAATTACAAACTACGTATGTAAGTTTGTTCAATTTTATAATAATTATTTATAACTTTTATTAATAGACATATACATCGTCATTAATCCTGTTTTTTTTATACCATTCATTTTTCCTGTATTTATTATTTTTATTATTTATATTATTTGTAAAAACAATTACATCATATATAAATAAAAATTCTCTCTTAAGAAAATTAAGACTTAATTACATTTTTAATTTCCTTACTCTCTCAACTTAGTAAATTTCGCCCCCAATTGTTTTTTCTCACAAATTGTACAATTCTGTTTATATTCTAACTTAATATTCAACATTTAACAAATAATGTGTGACATTATTATATTATAAAGAGTAAATCTTGGGGCTAGTTATTCCACTCTTTGAGGTATCTTCAACGTAACGAGGAGATTAGTCATTACTATCAACAGTGGATACTCCATCGACAAAAAAAAAAGTAAACCACTAAAGTTGTTAAAGTTTGGTGTGAGATGGTGGAAACAATCCCTTGTTTTTCTACTGTTATAATAAATCCTTAATTGCAAATCATAATAAATACTCCTTATTTCATGAAGGATGTAAGAAGAGTTCATGTAAGCAATAAACAAATTAACGATGAAATTGATTATAATTACCTGAAGAGAGAGACTTGCACTAGGGTGGCAGGCCACCACATCTGCGCTGGCTCCACCACGTACTTCTTCATGATCCCCGCCCATCCGTATCCCAACACCTGCGTAACGTACGTATGCAATTCAACACACTCACTCGTTACTCATTACTCAATGCAATTCAATTCAATTCAACTCATCACCTGCGTGGTCATGACGAGGAGCCAACTCGCCAAGAAGCTAATCTTCCTGCCATAGAAGGCGCGGATTATATCCACAATGCTGATAGCGTAGGCAGAACCGTTCCCAAACGCGGCGCCAGCATTCGCGAATATCGAAATGAGCACGTGCTCCTTCATGTTGAAGGGGCCAGGGTTGAGCGAGAAGGCCCTCCCTCCGATGCGAAACTTCCTCGTGGGAAGCACCCTGGCCATGAACCGCCCGATCGGAAGCGTGGCCACCTGCACCGAAATCATGGTGACCGTGAGCGGCTCTGTCCTGTAGCCGAAGAAAGTGTTGAGGAACGAAAGCAGCGACACCGACGCCACGCCCATGAACCACATCCGAAACGTCCACACCGGCTGCCCGGGGTCGTCCTCGTTCGACACCACCAGACGCACCTCCTCGATCGGCGACACCTCCTCGTCTATCTCCATCGAACCCATTCTTAATATTTCTCACACACGCTGCTGCTGCTGCATCATTTTAACACCATTAGAGGTTTATGTAATGACCATTTATATTACGCCTTATTTAACGGACGCCAACGGGTTAACGCCGTATTCATTTCTCAATTCATCATCTTAGTTTACCGTCTACTTCTCTCCTACATTTTCTTTTTATTTTTTATTTATTTCCAACAATTGCTATAACTCTTCTAATATTTTTTTACTCTACATTTTTAATAAATCTTGTTATTAAATTAAAAGTGACTCTTAAATTAGATATGAAATCCATAAAAATTTATTTGTCAGATTTTCAATAAATTTTTATTAATAATAAAAAAAAGTGTTAGAGAAACTATCTCTAACACTCCTCTTTATTTTCTCAAATTAACATTCTTTAATTATTAAACAATAAATATATTATTTTTTATTTTAAATGTATGATTATAATTTGTTAATTAATGTTATCGTAAAAAATTAAATCGATAATACGATAAGAACAACTTTTTCTTCAAAATATAGATAAACTTTTTTTTTTTTAATGACTGAGTAAACTTATATTTTTATGCTTAATTAACAACAAAGCTAATATTCGTTAAGTTCCATGAGGGATAAAAGAGCTTTTCAGTTTCAAAATTTATTACACTATTTTTAATTAAATTGGTTTTTTATCGGTAAGAAACTGAAAATTACACTGACTTATTTTACCGTACAAAAAATATTTTCAAAGAAAAATAATCTAAAAAAATGTTTGACTAAAACCGTAATTAATGATGCTAGAGAATCTTCTTTTGTCTTATTTAACATAATTATGTTGAAATTAGTGTCAACTCTTTCTGTTCCAGTGTTAGATACACACTTCAATTATCTTTGCTATAGCGGGTCGGGTCCTGGGTCTCGGTCTTCTCGTTCTCTTCCGGGTAGTCCGATGTGAGGGAGTGTGCCTGCAAAGACACTCCGACGTTCAAGTAAGTGTTCGGCGTAATAAATGCGGTAGTTCAGAATTAATTACATGCCTCGTTGGGGTCCTATTTATAATAGTTCTTATTGGGCCGCAATTAGGGACTGGGCCCCAGAAAATTAGGGGTCTAATCCTATGCATTATGTTAATTAATCTCTCCGTAACCATCTTGATGATGCCGACATACTCGGCTGACCCCGCCAACACGTTTCGCCCCTATTTGGGGGTGGTCGGCAGGTTCAGGTACTCGACATAAGCAACGTCGACACGTTTCGCCCCTATCTGGGGGTGGTCGGCGGGTTCGGGTACTTGGCATAAGCGATGGTCTCGGGCATTCGGGCGAGTCGGCCACCATACGGTATACTTTCTTTAAAAAAATATAAAAATCTGTCTATTAAGATGGGATTTTTTTTTAAATGTTAAATAATTTCTTATTAAAAAATCTTGTGATATTAAATTAAGAATTTTAATTTTTCTAATTAAGAACAAAAGGGAGTAGTAACTTTTTTTTTTGTTTTTCCATTCTTTTAATGTTAATTTACTTCTCGTGCCCGAGCTAACATGCACGAGTGCTAAGTTACGATCTATCATTTTTTTATATTAACATAATTTTGAATGAATTTTAAATGTATTTTTTTAATTTCATATAAATTTCAAATGATTTTTTCATTAAATTTAGACTTTTAATTTATATAATTAAGAATCAAAGGAAGTAGTAACCGACTTTTTGTTTGTACATTACTTTAATGTTAGTTTACTAGTGTAATAATCTGTATCATGCATGGGTGTTAGGTTATTGCCTTTACTTTTTTTTATTTTATATTAATATGATTTTGAATATATTTTTTAATTTCATATAAATATATATTAGAATATATTCATATGTATATATATTTAAATATTTAAAAAAAATTGGATATTAATATATATAGACATATTTTTAAGTTTTATTTTTGTATCATGTAATTATATATATATTAAGTCAGGAAATTAATGTTAATTTATTTTATTTCAATGTTGCATTAAATTTTTCCTTTAAGTTTACGGGAAAAAAAAATACATGTGCAATATAATATTTCCTCCGTTTATGTAACAAGTGTAAGGGGGAAAAAGTCTCAAAATAAATATATTTTTTAATGCAATTATAGGAATGCTAAAAAGGATTTAATTCAATAAATTGATTCAAATAATATGTCTAAATAAGTTGGATTGAGCTATATTTTTCAACTTTAATTTACAACCTGTCAAGTCATCATATTAATTGACAAATAAGGTTGGATTGACATATTATGTAGAATTCAGCTATTATTTTGTTTTTTTTAGAATTTAACTTATTAATATTGACTTATAGTATTTTATTTGTAGTTTATTTACTTATTAATATTTATTTATGTTTATATCATAGGCTTATTTAATGTTGTTGATAAAATTATTTTATTGAAGATATATTTATTACTTACATATTTTGTTGATCATTTGAATCATTTAATTTATTACTAATTTTATAATATTTTTCACTTTTTAATTATATTTGAATATAAATTTTGAAAATTAAAACAAATAAAATGAAAAAAAATAATAGTAAAATGTTTTTAATAAAATTAGTAATTTTTTTTATATATAATGGGATGGAGAAATTAAGTAACATAAAAATGGAGTTGCATTTATTGGAAAGTTATTTTTTTAAAAGGACAATTGTAAAGTGAGTTATAATACATTCTTTCGCATGCACCTTTTTAATGGATACTTTTTCAGATTTTGAATATAAATAAAATAAAAAATAAAAAATAAAAAATAAAAAAACCTCATGTTTCTTATGTTGATATATAAACAAATTTTAACTAAATTTAATCTATTTAATATTAATATTTTTTAATAATCTTTTATTTAATTAAAATTGTATTTTTAATAGTTTTCTTATTCTTAATATCAAGTTTAAAAAAATAAAATAGTTTATAAAATTAAGTTATTGTTTAAATGGAATTAATGTAATTAATTAAATGATCTTAACTAATTTTCTCAATTAACGTGATTTTTTTTTTTTACTTGTATTCAGAATTGGAGAGAGTACTTATATTTAGACTACTTTTATGTTAGACAGTTGGTTTTTAATATTACTTAAATAGTGCCATGACTATCTCTTAGTGATTAACTTTGTCTCAATTTATTAATAGTGTGAGATAGTAAAAACAGGTAATATTTACATAATTTTAGGATTAAATTTTGTTATCATTATTATAATTTTTTTAGATAAAGAGAAAATGATTAATAGTGTTATGAATTTATTGAAATATTTAATAGTAATTAGTCACTTGAAAAACAAAATTAACTATATTTATATGCATGATTAATCATGTGTGTGATTGAATGAATTGTTTTTATATGTATAACCTAAAGAGTAATTAGATGGGTGACTTCCTAAACAATCTTCAAGTTATACCTCTTTAAAAAAGTCAACGTGAATTGATATATATATATAGACCGAATTTTAATCTTCTGCATCAATGTTGGTTCAAATCTCCTTATACCACTTTTCCTGCTATATAGGTAACCTTTCTCATAGACATCCTTTAACTTCTAGACACTAATTAAGTGGTTGTAATTTTTTTTTTTTTGGTTCGTTCTTGGAGTATCCACCGCCGACAGCAGTGACTAATCTCCTCGCTACGTTGGAGGCACCTCAAAGGGTGGGATAGCTGACCCCAAGATTTAACGCGGCTGCATACACAAGGCAGGATTCGAACCCCTAACCTTGTTTAAGCGTGGATCAACCCCTACCGCTGAACCACACGCTTGGAGTTTTAAGTGGTTGTAATTGGGACTAAGTAAGTAGTTACAATTGGATAAAAAAATTTACAATTCAAACTTATATAGTAATAATCTTTTAGGTAGATTTCTACTATCATTCTCAATAAATATACAATGCGAATTATTACACCGGTTATTTAATAATATCTATATATGTGAATAGGCTTCCACAAAATGATGTCCTAGACATAGGCTCCAATGTATATAAAATTTATAATTTAGATATTTTTAGTTGCATCTCAAATTTAAAATATATGGTTATGCATTTTGAAAACAATGAATGTATCCCCCAGTTGGATGTATTACTAATTGAATGTTTAGCTTAGAAATGAGGAATTATTTTTATGTTGTTTCCATATACATTCCAAGAAATAGAATCTTCCTGTACAAAAGACAGGAAAGGTATAGAAAATCTTCCTATACTAATTAATCACATACTGCCACCGGAGTGATGCAAAAGAAAACGCGTTGCAGCACATTTTTGGTGCAATTTATCATTCTTTTATGATGCTCGCTGCAGAACACTCTTACCAATTTTTCCTCCAAAATAAATGTTTTCATTCTTCATTTTGAGAAAAGAATTATTTCTTTTTACAGAAAATTGCACATGGAATAATAAGTAGAGTTCCTAAGAAAGAAAGTGTAATTCCAAAAGTGCAAGCGTGCGTTTGTTTTGATGTTTAGAATCTCTAAACATAAGTTGAATTTAAAGTTTCACGACTCATGAATTGAATTCAATGTGCATTAAAACGCAAGTTAACTTTAAAACAAACACACACTAAATTACATGGAATACAAAGGTGGTTTATTTTTAACATACTCTTTAATCTTTAATTATTCTTCTCAAGTGGTTGTTGAACTCTTTCTATAAAGAGTGAAGTACTTATGGGCTTTGATTACTTCCCTTTTACAGTTTTGGTTAAACTATGTGCACGAGTTGTTTAATTTTTGGCTGGTTATTCATTCGTCCAAATGCCCAAGTTTTCTTGTAATCGTGTTTATTCCCTGGCTTAATGATGAGGTGTTGAGTTACTTAATGGTCCAAATCCAAATACTAAGCCATGGGGTATTCAACTTTTTGACATTCATGCTATTGATTGTCTGATGGGTTGACCACTCGAACTCTGAAAATTATTGTTCTTCCACAATTGTTCTTATCATTAATGACTTGATTTCTATGTACCATTTTTAAATGACATGCAACTTAATTTGAATTACGTTGTGGGCACCCTAATTAATGCTGGATTTTCAAAGATTCTTGTTCTATATCCGCATTATATTATTATATTTTACCAATATATATATTAATGATATAATTATCTTAAAATAATAGAAAGATATTAAAAAATATATTAAATTCATCCTTTAAATTTCAAAAACAAAATTATTTATATAAAATTCACTAGATTATATTATTAACTTAAATATTTTTCTTTTACTGTAACCTAGCAGTGAAGTACTAATATATTTGAGAAATGTGACTTTCACTTGCTAAACATTGTTTTAACATCGATGGAGTAGATTTTAAAAATAGCAAGTTGACTTCATGTGTCATAAGACAAGTTCTATAACATATTAATTTTAAATAATGTTGTATAATTATCTTAATCTATTACTATCAATTTATGTTATTGTGACTTTGAATGACTAAAATAAAATTGTTTGAAATTACAATAATTAAGAGTATTAATTTTAAATTTAAAAAATAAAAAATAAAAAAAATTTAAATTTGACTGATTAAAAACATTTTTAATTGATATATTATTTTAAAATCCCACTATTTTAACAAAATAATATTAAGATTATCTTAAAAAAAATAAATGAATATACATTAGTAAATATTTGTTGAGTTTATTAACGTATACTCCCTTTTGTTTTATAAGAAGTATGTTTTAAATTATAATTATAATTTTTTTCGCAATACAATCAAGGTTTAGCTTACTAACATATTTTTAATTATTTTCCAAGAAAACATATTTCAACTAAAAAAGACAAATAAGTGAATACGTTTTAGCAAATTTACACACATATATAATAATAATAATAATTTTCAATTGAATAGTATTTTGAAACGCAACATTAAATTAACTTTTTTTTTTCTCACATAAATCACATTTAATAAAAATTATGTCAATACAAAAGTATTTAATAATATATACATCAAAATTATCATAATATATATTTTTAAAATAAAGTTTACTAATTACGCGTTTATATTGTAAAAACTTTAATACTATCAAATAATAAAAAATCATCATTAACAATAACGACTTTTAAAATAGTTCTTTCAAAAATCAATAAGTTTATATACGATGTTTTGTAGTTGAATAACGATATAAAAATATTTTTCAATCTATTCTCTTTAATATACAAACTCACATTTTTTATTAATAAAATAATAATTAATATAGTTATACGGGTATAAATTTGACCTTTCTCATGGCCATGCTTGTGTATATATAGATATTGATTAACATATTATAAATATCAATTATCCAACAATTTTACTTATAACCAATATTTATTAAAAATTTAGCAGACTATATTTAGGAAAAAACAATCTCATTATATATATATATATATATATAAAAGTTAATCACTTATACATTATCAATGTAAAGATTTTTTACACTGACAATTAATCAGATCTTTTAATAGTGTCATGTCAGTTGCTTATTTAATGAAATAAAAATAAAATAAATTCATTTAAAAAATTTGATTGGTTGTCAGTGTAAAAAAAATTTACACTGCCAGTATATAGATGATTAACTATATATATATAGAGAGAGAGAAAGAAAGAGAGAGATAGAGAAAGAGAATGATTCAAACAACACTAGTATAATTTTTACTAAATATTACCTCGCTTAATAACTTTATATTAAATGTAACTTTTGTAAATCCAACCATTATAACTTCATATCACTTTATATGTTTATATTAAATTTTGTTAAAATTGAACTTGAAAAAAATCAAAATATTCATATTTTATTATGTTTTAAAATGTATATATTATATCAATTTTGTTATATAAGAATGAAGTATCAAATCATCTTAGATTATTATAAAATTTTGTATATATGATGTAAGAATAAAGAATTTTTAATCTAACGGTTGAATTTACAAAACTTACATTTAATATAAAGTTATTAAGTAGTGTAATAATTAGTAAAAGTTACACCGGTGTAATTATAAACCTCTATATATATATGAAAAGAGATCAAATTACACAACTTTTATAACTATTATACCATTTAGTAATTTAAATAAAGAGTTAAGTCTGTCTATAAAAAGTTTTAAAATGGAAAAAATAAATAAATAAACACTCAATTGATAAGCCATTTTCATATAAACCAACTTTTCACCATAACAAAATAAAGGATCATGTGTTGAGAAGTTGGTTTGGAGTTTGCCAACCTCAACGCAATTCACACAAAAGATCTCAAGGGAAAGTCGACCCGGGAGAATTTGATTTCCTGGTGCCTAAAAAAATATAACACTTGGAAATAATCATTCAAGTATGGAATTTGGAGAATTAAAGTAAAAATAAAACGCTGCTGTAGAAAAACCTAGGCAAACCATATTTATAATTTAACCTTGATATGTTGGGCCATGTTTCCACATGTCAAACCCCTCTTTGAGTATGTGTTCCATGTTACTTTTTTGTTTTTTATCCTTTTTCTTTTCAATCAAAACAGAAGGGAGGGATGAAACTATCGTCTTTTGCTTTTGGTCTTGGAGATCCTTGATTTACTTGCTTCATGAGGCGGTTTCCAGATTATATCCTCCAGATTGCTACAAAAGTTCTTGTAAAACTGCAACATTATGGAATGCATCTTTCGTCATAAATTAAATGTAAGCAATCGACAGGGCAAAACAGATGTTTCAAAAGCTTACCTTGAGGTATTCGCCAGTATCTCCAGCTGCTTTTTGAATGTCCACCATATAAAATGTAGGAGCCACTTCAAAAATCTTCGAGCAGATAAACAAGAATTATTCATTAAGCCGAAGTGTTAAGGGCTGTTGAAATTCTGGAAGAGGGATAGAAACTTACTTCCAGAATGACCGAGAAATAGGATGCTTTATTTGCTGAAATACCCTCTACCCTCATCTGAAAATTCATAAAAATGTCACTTCAAATGATGACCAACTTTAGTAGGACTGATCTCTCATCTCATGTTAAAAACGACATCAGATGCTAAAGACTTGAAAATTGTGCGAGTATATAAATGGACAAAATGAGGATGCAAAAAGAAACCAGAGTAACAAAAGCAGTGAAAGCATGTAAATCAATCAACTATGCATATAACAAGTTACCAACCTTGTAGTTACGAATATGTGTCTTAAATCCCATTGATTGTGCCACGACTTCCATACTTGATAAAACCACCTTTGCTGGCTTTTGAGAAATAAATCGGGTTTGGTGCTTCACAGAGTCCTGTAAAGATATTACAGACTATTCAGATATTTTATAACCTAATTATGGAAAATATTTGAGTTTCAGACCTTTAAATGACAGAATATTGGATGTGCAATAATTTATATTTACATCACAGGACCCCTTAACATGGTAAAGATTACATCTATAGCTCTGCAAAGTTCTTCGGGATAGTATGTGGGCATTTATTTGACCAATTAGATATTATTGCTGAGCCTCATGGCAAACACAATGCAACAATTAAAATACCTGCCCGCGATCAAAGATTGTTGCAAGATTTAAGCCTTGAGACAGAATTAGCAAGTCAAATGCATTAAGCATTAAAGGACCCATGTCCTCATTATCACATTGTTGATCAGCCCTTTGTTCCTTCAGCAACAAAATAATCATAATCAGCAAGTCAGCAAAACAAAGATAATTACCGCAGGAATGAAACAGGAGCCGGTCTTTAAGAGAAGGGACACCAAATGTAAAAAATGACAACTCGGGTACTATTGGCAATTTGCATTACATTCCCCACCCTTAACAGAGGTCCCATTTTTCAGCCTTGATGTTTTCTTCAATACACTAGAAGTTCAAGAATGCCATGCTTGCTAGTAATGGAATGGTTTTCCAGGAAACATGATAATTCAAAAGCGTCTCAAATGTCTAAGCTGAGGGTATATTTATTTACCCTATATAACCAAAAGTTGAAAACTAAAAAGATAATCCTATTCTAAGCTAGAGTGAATAATCCCAAAAACACAATAAAGTCCCTAAAAAATAATAACAAATAATTCAAAATTAAAAATATTAACTTTTAAAAATAAAATCCTAAAACGTTGTGTCCAATCTATCCCAGATTCATTCTAAAAATATAGAATTGAATACGTGGACTGGAAAAGAACATGGATTAGCTTAAATACAAAAGAAAACATAATAATAATAATAATAATAATAAATAAAAAAATCAGACACAACAGACCTCCGCATCATCAAAAGCAGCATTTACATCATCAAGATTTACATCTTCATACTCGAGAAGACTGACAGGAACATAGCTCCTCTGAAACCATTCGTCATTTCTTATCTGCTCAATGGTTATTCGCTGCAAATGTACACGCACAATAACAAGCAAGGGAAAA